TCAAATTTGGCTAACTTTAAATAATAAATATTAAATAAAAATTCCCAATAAATATTTTTTCTTTATTTCCCTTTACACAACTTTCCTACCCATTCGTTAAATGACATATTGGTCCACCCTATTAATCAGACACACACACCGGAGTTTAAATGGTCGTTGTTGTTGCCGCATTGAAGCTGTTAGTTTAGCCGGTTAAGGGGCGTGGCCGTTCAGCGCTGAACTCTTTTGGCAGAGACGACGTCGTTATATATGAGGCCCCGTAATGGGCAGAGCTGTGGCACATATACGAATATGAGCTTGGAGGGACCACTTGTCCCCAGCGACAGTTTGCCACTTTCTCACCTCCCCGAGGACTTGTATTTGAAGGTGGATGAAGAAATGAGGATTGCTTTGGGTATGGATGGGGTTGGGTGGGGAGTATACATGGAGTAACCGATTCCCCGGCCAGGCAATAAAAGTTCAGCACAGGGACAGGACAGCAAGCACATGGGGCGGGGGGGCAATGGTGCGAAGCTCTGCAGTTGGGCTTAGCTTTTCATTACTTTATTTTCGAGTCTGGGCTCAATCTGAATCTGTCTTGCCAATAACAGCAATGCCACCAACAACAGCAGCCGGCAAGCGGGAAAAACTGCAGTGGACTTGCAGTGCTCGTTTAAATGCGGCGTCGCAATCGCATTCGTTGTTTGAAAATCCAAAATAGACAGACAGAAAGAAAACAAGAAATAAGTATATTACTATAAAAGTTAACCAATGTCTAACGAATCTCAGATACCCTTTTTACAGCATTTTACTGTCATACAAAACTTCACACCTTTTGTGACAAGATTGGTATGCAGATCATATCAAAGTTACCTGCTCCTCACATCAATCACTTATTTCGATTTCAATCTTTACTCTACTGATCCAGTTTACAGCAAAGAATTTCAATAATAGACTTCGGAATTAGGTAAGATCATTTCTCAACCATTTTCTTATCAACTTTGCTAGTATGTAAACCAATTAATAAAGTATATTCAACTAGCTAATTTAACCAACACCTGCTTATTTGACATTTGATACTTTTTGGGTGACACAACTCAACAGGGTTCATAATCAAATACGTAATTTATGCTGTCATAAGTAGAGATAACTGATTGCTCTTGAACGAATCAAATTTTAATGTTAATAAAGAAGTCAAGAAGTGTTCATATATAGTAAGTTTATGGTATTCTATATCAGAGACTTTCATATTGCTAAGAATACTACTTTGTAGTACTTTCCCAATTCCCAAGCCCATCAAGATTAACTTCTGATAATACAGATGTGACATATTCGATTCTAGCCAGTCATTCACTTGACAAACCAAGACAAAGGGTATGCATAGGTCTTAGAAGGAAAACTGGGTGGTGGAAGTGGTGGCAGGCGGGCGAAAAGAAAAACAGAAATCGTTTTTGCGCAATCCTCACAGATCTGATAAGCAGTTAGAGAGCATTAGACCAGCCAGCGCACACACTCTCAAACGGGCTAGCAAACAAACCAGCAAGCCAACAGGCAACAACCAACAGACAAACGGAGAAACACATTCAGAGATCCAAAGAGTCTGGGCCAGAGTCTGGGGGTCTGGGTCTAAAAGCCACCATCAGCATCAGCATAAAGCCAGCGTCAAGTCAAAATCCCCAACTGGCCTGACCGGGCTAACTTTTGAGTGTTGCAGCACTGACTGAGCTTAGCTGGCTCCCCGGCTCCTAAAAATATCTCCTCCGTATCCCCAGATCCCCAATCCACAGATCCCCGCAAATCCTCCAATGCTCGAGAGTCGCGACGTAACATGCAACATTACATGCCTATAATTTGTTTTCACACAGCAGGACGTTTTCACTCCATAAGACATCAGAAAGAGGTCTTAAATGGTCACATTACTGCCATTTCCAACAGCGTTCAAATGTTCAAAAGACGACTGGCTGCATCTTCTCTAAAGTTTTTGAGGCGGGTTTTTTTATTTTTTGTGTACCCATGCCTGTGCCATGCCTTTTGGCCAGATCTATGCTACACAGCCTTCGGCCAATGCAATAATGTTTGCTAACTGTTATTTAATATAGTCATTATTTGGCCACAACTTGTCCCACTGAGCAAATGGCACTTCATTCCCCAATTTACCAACGCATCCCCCGCGGCATTCTACCTCATCCTCTATTCACCGTTGTTGCCCCAACTTTGCCAGACGCAATATGGGAATAGTGCAACCTGCACTTGAAATAAAAAAGGGGTAACAGATGAGGATATTTCTGTGAAATATATAAATATTTTGAATGGAAATGTTTATTAATTTTTGTGTAATTTTTTCCTTTTATTTGATTAAGTTTTTCTTTTTTTTAATGTACTAAAACATAGAACTATTTCCCTGCCCCTCCAATAAACTTTATGATTGACAATAACTTAATTGGTGGAAAAAGTCTTTAAAATTTGATAAATAAATATACAAATGCAAGTTTCAAGATGGTTCTACAAAATACACATTACCTAATGATCAGGTTTTTTAAATCTTCACCTTTAATTATTTTTATCGAGAAACATTAAGTGTTCTTTTCAAACATAAAAATGGGTAAAATCATCAAACCATCTTAGTTGCTTGTTCGATATTTTATAGATATTCCATTTGAAAAATTATATCGCATGTAACTTTAAAAGTTAACTAGTGTTTTAAAATTTCTTAGGACTAATTGAATTTTTGCAATTTGCTTTTATGTGAAATGGGTAGGGAGAGTAATAAATAGTGGTTTTAGTGTTAAGAACGAGGATGGGCAAATGCGAATTGCTCTTGCCTCAGTGCTCCGATGATCGAATGCACAAGTGCCAAGCGGCGTTGGTCATCTCCGCCATCCTGCACTCCATCCCAATCCTATCTGGGCACAATGCCCCCCTCGCCCCTTTGCCGTTTCCTCTTTTCACAACTGAGGCTAAGCCCCAATTTGGATTATTTGTAGACATTAAATAAGCTGTGGCCACTGCAAATGCTGGAGGAATTAAGTCGCGCCAGAGTTAAAAATATCCGCGAGACGTCTCGGGATTGTCCCATTGCCAGTTCCTAGATCGAGTTGTGCCGATAAAGGTGCAGCTGCAGATCGGTTTTTTTTTTTTATTTTGGAAGGAGAAGGCAGATGAGGCGGGGTACAGGTAAAAGGCATCTTTACACAATTCAATTGAGTGGCAGACGGGGCATTTACATATGAATACCAAGTGTCCTTTACCGTTATGGCCGGTAACAATATAATATGAGAGGGCAAAAAAAACAAAAAACAAACAAAGCCAACTTACTACCAACTACCAACTACGACTACTGCCCACACTAAACAAGTTAACATTAACCGTTGGCAGCAGCCGACAGTCAACACCAACAATACCAATAACAATAACAATAGCAATAAAAATAAAAATCAAAATAAAAACAAAACAAAACACACGAGATGAAGGGGAAGGAGGAGGCCAAGAAAAACACAACACGAAAAAGTATCTTCAAAATACACTTATGCTGTCTTTTTATGGCATATCTTTTACTTATTTGCCCGCACTTAAGTATCGCGGCGTTCGTCTCCTCAGCCAAAGCTGCTTTTTCTGATTTTTCCTCTTTTTATTTTCGATTTTTTCATTTTTTCTGTTTTTTTTTTGTTTTTTTTTTTGTTTTATTTTTGTAAAATGAAATGAAATCGAAATATGGGTCGTCGGCGCGCAGTCTGATTCCGATTCCGTTTTTTCTTTCGAGCCTCTCCACTCCCCCTAAATTATAACCCCTTGGAAAGAGGAAAAAAAACTCCTGATCTCAAAACACACTTCCAACAAGAGATGCGAGCAAAATTTCGAGAGCATTATTGGCACGAATTATTAACCTTTTCTTTTGCCATGCTCGTTTTTTGTTGGATTTTTTTTTTTGGTGGTGGTGCACTTTAAGCCCACATCTCATTGAGGCAAGAAATTGGCCCAAACATATGTACGTATATGCGGAATGAGCCACAATTCGGCACGAAAGATCGTTCCAATTGGAACATGAGACCGCGATGAGTGCACCATCCATGCATTCGTATTTATAAGTCCAAAAGAACTTTCACACAACTGGGTTAATCGAAAATAAAGGCGTCTAATGAGGCCTGATGTACGTACTATGATGGTAATGGATCTTGTGGAGCTGACCTTGCCCACGAAGTGTACGGTGTTTTGTTATGCCCTTGGTTGGATTTGTTTTTCACCTTTCTACCGTTACGACGACGAACACTTGGATCGGCGAGGCACTAAAACGATTTGAGTCCCGAACGGATCGTCGTCAATCTCATTGATAACTAATTCACGTAGTACTAACTTTAACGTTTTTTCGATTATATTTTGTTTTTAGCGCTTTTTTTATCCGCGGATACCTCCGAACACGGCCAAATGTAATTGCCAAATGAAGATCACTCCAACAACCGGCCCTGTATTTTGCTATGTGGTTGTTGTTGTTAGCTCTGCCGCCGCAGACACATGGTGAATATTCGGTCAGCTCAGCTGTTCAGCGGCACAGTGGAATCGATCGATGGTCAGTAATGATTTAAAGGGCTTATTAAAGTTTGAAGTGTTTTTTAATATAACTATTATTTTAAACTCTTTATATACTGTCGTTAACCAAAATTTTTTGAAGCGATCCCTAGGACATTCACACTATTTTTTTTTTTTTTTATAAAACACTATTCTCCATACCTCTAATTGTTAAATCAACAATTTAATTTAATTAATTTAACAATACAATTTAAATTTAATAACGGTTTTAATAAATTTATTATATGATCCCACTGTATTTAACGCACTAGGGATTATTGAGTGCTCATGTATGCGTTTGCCGTCTAGACAAGATAACTTTTGAAAAATAATTTTAAATGGCAATTTATTATAAAGATTTATTATTGTTAAACTATCATTACATAGTATTTAAAAATTTTTGATTTGATTAGCTTTTTAGGTTCAAAACAATACATTTCTTTTCCCGATTAAATAAATATCGATAATTCGCTCTTTTTGTGAACCCGTGACAACCCTATTACTCAAGCCGTTGTTGTTCTTTCAATTAAGCTATTATTATTTAAAAAGGTACGCCCACGCCCTAGAAAACCAAACAAACAATATATTTTCAAAGGATATATCACGGGATAACACTTAAAAACAGCTGGAAATCGGAAAACTAAAGAAAGTTTACCTTTTAAGCCGCGTTTTAATTGATCAAAATATTTGGGCGTTGACGCTGTCACGCAGGCCACATAAATGAATGTTTTCAATATTTTTCTTTACCTTTTTTTAGAACCATGGTAGTGCTAAGCTCTTGCTGGTCACCCATCATCTGGTCGGATAATGTCCGGACGGGAAGTTATGCTGTGGCCGGCTATACGGCTGCGCTGTCCGTTGTGCTCATCACAATAATTTCCTATATGCTAGCGGGAGGGGAGTCTGCGCAACTTTACACACCTCTTTTTGAGACCGATATCCGTTCATCGATGCCCATTGCTGGTGGATTCTTTATTATTTACTTCCTACTGATCATCTTGTCCTCTTATTTGGTTTACTACGGCATTAAGATAAGGTGAGTCTGGCTTTGAACTGTAAAGAAACTGTCTTTTAAAGCGAAATTCTTTTCTACCTAGCACACGAGGATGGCTACTTCCCTGGTTGGGTCTCATAGGATTGGCTATTCTCTTCCAGTTCTGCTGGAGTTTGTGGCTTATTGGAGGCTACTATATTTATGTGAGTACAAATCACTGTCTTATAAACAGGATGTAAGGATCTAATGGTTACGTTTTATTTTAATACCCAGCTGGAGCAAACTTTCTCGGCTCTTTTAAACTTCGTTTGGTGTGCATATAATGTAAGTTGTAATTTTGTTCTTCGGTTATAAGATTTAACAATCCCTTTATTTCCTGCCTTCAGATCTATTGCTGGCTTGTGGTCTTTTCGCAGTACCAGATATTCTTGAAAATTCAGAATCCAAACATTGAGCTGCTAATGCCATAACGGGAGCCCTTCCAATAATGAGCTCGAATAATCTATTAGGATACATACTTGACACGCTACAAGAACTCCGTCCAAGCGCATTTTTTCTACAATAAGAATTCCATTCATTTCCACAGATGCCTACCAAATAGTTTTTATAAATTTATATATTTTACAAACTTTTATACACGATTAATTATACTAATGTATAAATCGAATGCCTTAGTCTGCTAAACGACAATTAAAACAAATAGATTCGTAAAACTAAAAAATCGGTGCAAATACTGGGTCCTTGGGGCCAAGAAATCATTGTGGGTTTTTTGAATATCAACGTTTATTACCGTAAATTAAATTAGGGTGTACTCTAAATATACGAGTTTGTGTGTGTTTGTGTTTACATAGAGAAAGGTATTATTTTGTACAGAAACTTTAAATGAAAACTGACGACCTTTAACCACTGAAGCAGGGGATTTCAACTGTATGGTAGAAGTGGGAAATTGGAGAAGGATCGGGTACACGCGAGTCATTAAATATACATTAAGGTAAATCTTAGGATCGAATATTTTACAGAGCCTGGTGTTTGACACAGAGCAATGGGCTGGGTTCGCTGGCCTAGTAGACTAGGTCTTCTCCTCTTTCTCCTTGTTGTAGCGCTCTAATTCCTTAAGGAACTGCGCTTTCGGCTTCATCACGTTGGGCCGTTCTCCGCGGCAATTGGGGCAGAACCACTTGCCCTTCGGCTTTAGCACCAGGGACACGCACGAAAAGTGGAACCACTCGATGGGGCACAGATCGTTGTCGCACAAAATCATCTCACCAAAGGATATCTATTGAAAAAATTGGGTTAGACTACGGGTTTTAAGAAAACAACTAATTAAACTTACTTGATTGCAGACACAATAGGTCGGCTCGTCCGGATCAATTGTCTCTGGCGGCGGCGTTTCCTCGCGCGTACTGGCATTAGCATTTGAAGCCCCAGAGCCGCGAACTTTGCGTTTCTTTTTCTTTCCGGAATTGTTGCCACCGCCGACTACTCCCGTTCCGCTTCCACTGGCACCGCCTCCTCCTGCTGCACCACTGTTCGAAGCAGCAGAACCGCTAGCCAGGCTGCCAGATGCTGCCTGTAGGCTGGCCTTGCGTCCTTGTCCCGCTCCACCAGCGCCTCCCAACGAAGATTTACGCTCTCCACTGCCACCACCGCTGCCGCTGGCCTCATTGGCCGAGTTCGACTCGTTGCCGCCCATCTCCAAGGAGCTGCCGTTATTGACCAGGCTTTCATTTCGCCTCCTTGATCGCTTGCTGCCTGTTCGCTGCAGATCTCCACCAACACCACCTCCTCCGCTAACGTTGCCATTAGAGCCCCCGTTGCCTCCATTACTGACATGACTGGAGCGCTCTGAGTTTGGCGTCGAGCTACCGCCGTTACCGGAGGGCATGGCACTAGAACCGGACACAACACCTCCAGCGTAGCCGCCCAAGGCATAATGGTCCTTAGCAGACAGCAAGCCATTACCATTCAGGCCACCATTACCAGCGATTGCTTGGTTACCCTGCTCTCGCATTGGGCTCTGTAGACGCTGCAGCTTTGACGCCTGGCCATCCTCAATGAGTGACGCATACCGATCGCGCTCCTCTTTCAGATCCAGGTTTTGCTGGTCCGTGTCCAGCTGGCGCAGCTTTCCATCGATTATCTCCTGCATATGGTTGACAATTTGCATTTTTTCATCGCCCAGCTCTTGAGCCTGAATGAGACTCTGGTGCATTCGCGAAATGCTTCTGGACCGTCGCCCGGCATCTGGGGAGTTTTGCAGCGACAGATACAAGTCGTAGTAGTGGTCCACGTCCCGAATAAGGCCTGCAAAACGAAGGGAATTCCGAGGAGGAGGAGGTTAGGTTTTACGCTTTCTCGCCTCGGGTGAAAACAGCAACAACTTACCTCTGTACTGAACGTCTATGTCGCGGATACGGGATAACTGGCGCTGAACGTCATCCGGTAGATTCTCCACGGAATCAATATAGTTGTCCACATAGGTGGCCGAATTAATGGCCTCCGACTCGGACGCAATTGGGTTTATCATATTGTTTGGGCTGCGAAACGCTCTATTTCCGCAACGACATCGGCTCGGGGTCGTGGGATCGGTTGGGAACTACTCGTCCGGCACTCTGGAAGGGATCGGTTGGCTATATATCGCTCCGATTCCACTCAGTTCCAACTTTTTGTATGGCGTTGCGAGTCGCAACTTGCGACTGTACTCGTGTGTGCGTGTATGTGTGCGTACGTATTATTGCAGATATATGTATGTATACAATGGGTCGTATTTTGCAACACTGGCCAGCTGGTTTTGTGCATCACTGAAATCAGTGTTAATATATGCACTTTTGTTTGTTATTTTAACTTTAATATTTTTTTAACGATTTTTACTTTTAATCATAAAAGAAATATTAGTTTTCAATTTAAAACCCAAAAATTTTCGAGAATACTTGAAGTTTAACATAAAAGATTAGAACTGAAATAAATTAATCAATCATATTTGATAGTGTTCCAAAACATATTTAAAACTACCCTGTAGCAATGTAACCAACTTTAGCGGGAAACCGCGATAAATTAAAAAAAAAAAACAGTGGAGCGGAAAATTCAAATTAGGTAAAAAAGCAGATATATGTTTATGAGTACTTTACTTCTTTGACCAAGATTAAAAAAAGCTTTAATTTGCGAATATCACTTTATCCACAGAGGCTCATCTGCAAATCCTCTTTGACAAACTTGGCTCATGTAGGGCCTTTTTCTGTTGCATGTAGTCATTTGTTTTGAAAAATGAATTTTTTTGCACTAGGTGTAATGTCCATTAGTTTCAGTGCGCTCATAGACATCAAACAACCTGCAGATTGAATTTATTGACGAACTGAAATCGAAATAAAGTCGCCGGCAAGATAGTTATACCCAAATGTGCGTCAGGTTAATTATGTTACACAAGTATACTCTGCCTTTCTTGTCGCAAATTGAATTGAAGTTTTACGCCTCCTGTCCTATTTTCGACAAAGAGTGTCATTTCGTCGATATAGTTCGCCCTTCGTATTATTATATTATCTTTTTCATTACACAGAGTTGTTATTCTGTTTACCATAACAGTGTTGTCCCAACTGGTGAATGACAAAGAAATATAGAGGAATCGTTGTGAGTGCCTAATATAACACTAAGCTACAAAAATCATAATTCTATTTTAGGAAACGTGAAAGCTCAATTTGTTAATTATTTAAAAAATGTGTTTACCAATTAGCAAAATTTCCAATTTACTTTATTAGTTATGTTGTTATACAAATAATTTAGGCTCATATTTAAAAAAATGTCATTCCTATTTTAATGCTATATTAACACTATACATATGTTAGCCTCATTAAAAGCTCTAAAATAAATTATCGCATTACTCATCCACCGTCACATTTTGGTCTCAGCCATTAATCTTCTTTCCCTGCTCTGCCATTTTAGTCCTATGCTGCTTAGATTTGTAGTGGGTCCTAAGACTGTTCCTCCGATTGAAGTGGGCCTGACAGAGATTGCAGCTGGAAAGACAAAGAATTAGGTCAGAGAATAACGCCTTTTGGCTTAACTTACTGAAATGGCTGTTCACCCGTATGGACAACCCCATGGGTCTTCAGAGATTCCTTTTTCTTAAACCCCTTGTTGCATATAGGACACGCGTACGGTCTATGGTCTGGATTCTCCTCATGTTTCCGTTCGTGGAACAATCGTTTCAGGCAATTGTCAAATCGCTGGCCACAGTACTTGCACACATAGGGCAATTCCCCGCGATGCTTGATCCTCACGTGCAAATTGAGCAGATGTTGGGTGAACTCCTTGCGGTCACACTCCTTGCACTGGAACTCCTTGGTGCCTTTGTGCCGCGTAAGGTGGACATTGAAGTTGCCTCTTTCGCTGAATGTCTTTCCGCATTGGTCGCAGAAATAACGTTTCTGATCCTTGGCTTGAGCTCTTTTCTCAGCAGCCCACTTCCTTCGCAATGCATGTTTTTCGGCCTCGGTCTTTCCGTCAACTTTTGGTCTGCCCCGTTTTTTTCTAGTTACAATAGTCACAGTCTTTATGTCTTCTTCGTTTCCATATCGCACGTTTTTTGTTCTTATAGATTCCTCATCTGAAGGCAGGGGCTCGTTCTTTACCTCGATATCCGCGCACCTCAGCGGATCCATGAGATCTGCAGTAGGTTCGCCCAGAGGATAATTAGAATCATCTTGTGTCTTTAGCGAACTCTCATTTCGCTTCCTGCTGCGTTTTGCCGGACTTCTTTCCTCCTCTGCAATCTTTTGTTGCTGTACAATACTGATGGGCGCAACATCTACTCTTAGGTCTTCTTGGCTTATATCCTTTTCGACTAAAGTTGGCGAATCCTCTTGTGAGTTCTGCTTGTTAATCCAAGAGTTGTTGGTCTTAATGCAGCGCTCTCGAAAAGCGATGGCTTCATTGAGATCCAGTAGGCAGGACAAACAAATCCTTGAAGGCAAACCGGGCTTGTCACTTAACTAGAAACGAACTTGCATTATTTTGGTTTTCGACTTTCTTGAGAGATAGCTACCCAAATTCCTGTCAGCTTGAAGATGTTGTATAGCACTTCGCTGCCTTCCTTCTCGAAAAGTGACTTGCCGTGTTCTACATCTTGACCACAAGTACGACAGAGCGTAGACATATTTTTGGACTTCCGGCCAATTTTAAATGATTTATTTATTCATTTAAGCAGAGTGGTCAATTGTTTACCAAAAACGAATGGTACTCCTATGTGCATGATAGAATTAGGCCCGTTCCTTCTGAATGGCAAAATAACACTGTGCAACATATTATTATCCCCATCAGATTGATGATAGTTTCCAACTGAACCCGCGCCATCCTTATCGATATCTCCTTATTTTTATAGCTTTTCGCCAGATTACATTTTTTCTTAAGTTTTTAATCAGTTTTATTTAGCAAAATTGCTTGAAGTTATAGTTTTGCTTAAAACAAACCTTTTTGACTACGTAACGATTTGATTTAAAATTTTAACATTTGGCAGAAAATTTATTTAATTTTTCTAAATTTATTATGTTCTTCCATTTTCATATGCTGTTTAGATTTAAAGTGGGTCTTTAGATTCGAGTTGCGGGAAAAGGACATGTCGCAAAGTTTGCAGCTGGGGAAGATACAAATAAAATAAAAGATCAGCTAAGAGAACATAGTCTAGAATAGCACTAGAATTGAATTATTTGTACTACTCCAAACACTACTTGTAATAGATGAGTTTAACGATTAACTTACGAAAAGTTTCGTACCCCGGTGTGCACAACCTCGTGCTTCTTCAGTTGAGAAAGTATCTCAAACCGCAAGTCGCAAGAATGACACTTCAAAGGCTTTGGCTTAACCTTGTGCTCGTGTGTCCTCCTGAAAGAAATTAAATTTTAGTCTGTGCACATAGGTAAAAAGGAATTTTATATACTTACAATTGATGCCGACTTCGCTTGGTACTGTTCACAAAACACTCGCCGCAGTATTTGCAGGCAAATGGTTTCTCTCCACGATGTTTCACCCGGATATGTATATTTAGCAGGTACATGTTGAATTCTTTTTTGTCGCATTCTGGACATTTAAATGGCCGCACTCCTGTATGACGAAGTACGTGCAAATTGAGATTACCCTTATCGTTGAATTTCCTGCCGCACTGATCGCAAACATAGGTTTTATTGCATATGTACCTCTTTCTCTTCCGTTTTCCAGAAGATTGAGAATTTTTGTTTATGGTCTTTGATGTGAGCGCTCCTTCGTCTTCTTCATCTGAAGAACAGCTTAATGAACCATCTTGAGATTTTTCATCGAAAAGAAGATATTCTTCAGGGTCGAACTCAGATCCTGGCGGTTGACTTGAGGTTTCCGCATTTGAATCATCCATACTGTCGTCGTTGGGGCGGTATTCCTCGATCTCTTTTCCGTTGTTCTTAATATTCTTTCCATTTTCCGATATTTCCTCTTCACGTTCAGACATCTCTTGGTTATTTACATCGAAATATTCCTCAGACTGGACGTCATCGATTAGGCCTTGATCGTTTTGGTCTTCATCGGTCTGGTCTTCATCGGTCTGGTCATCATAGTTCTGGTCGTCATCGTTTTGGTCTTCATCGTTCTGTTCGTCATCGTTTTGGTCTTCCTCGATCTTGAATTCCGCGTTCTGATCGTCTTCGTAATAGGTACTGCAGTATTCCTCTTCGGAATAACTCCTGTCCTCTTCGCCTATGTCGTCCTGCTCGTCCTCATCCCTATCCTTTTCCAATTCCACTGATTCTCTTGTCTTATTCAGCGGATCCCCTGAATCCTTGTCATCTTTGGCTTTTAACTTCTTCAAATTGTTAGACAGCAGGGTGTGAGTTCTGATACAGAGCTCTCTAAATGCTATGGCACTTTTTAGGCTAACAACGCAACAGGCACACATATTTCTAGGCAACTTGTGTTGGTCAGTCAGCTGCGGAGAAATAATTACAATGTTTTTCATCTAAAAATAATGACACTTGAAATATGAATACTTACCACTATGCCCGTCAGCAAAGTGACTTGCTTAATAATATCACTAGATCCTTCGAAAATATTAACAGAATTTTTGGTATATATTTTATCACCACACGACCTACATTGCAGCGACATTATTTATATTTATTTTCGAGCAAATGCGGCTTTACTTTTGCTCCAAATGCATCATGTTGTTTGTGAGCCATTCACATTTGACGGGTTGTTGTGGTGAATGCTCACCAGGGTGAATGTCAAAGGTTGGCGGCAAAATTTAAATTGCGCGCGGTTTTATTACGGTATGATAAAATAATCGAAAACTGTTCATAAGTAAATTCGCATTTTTATCAATTTTTTTGTTTGCCTCCAAATACTTCTCAAAAATATTCAAATATGTAAATTATTTAATTTGAGATTTTAAAGAAATTGAAATATTTAGAATAATAAGTAATAAGGGATTGTGAACTAATACTTTATTGGTTGTTATAAAAGTAAAAAAAGATGAATCATCTTAAATGACACATATTATTTTCAGAATACTTGAGATTGTGAACAAATATTTTCTTGGTTGTTATTAAAGTAAAAAAAAGGTGTATCTTTGTCAATGACACATATTATATTCAGAATACTTGAATACCAAAAATGAACTAAAATTCCTTCATCAAAAACTTTTTTTTCAAACACATAAATGCATGTTATTGACATAGAAGCAAAGACTAAAACCAAAACTATGGATATGGCTAATTCTAATAAGAATAAAAAGTTAATTCTTTTAAAAAAAAGGTAAATAAAGAACATTTGAAACATTTTCTCAAACTTTAAACACTAACGAACATATTTCGTGTGTAGCAGATGTTAATATCTAATCAACAGTTCTATACATTTAATCCATATCTAAACAATGCTGAGAATCCAGGATGGCGGTTGCCTTGTTATAATGGGACTTTGTTTTAAAATGGCACTTTAAAGTATACCTTTCAGCGAAGTTAATGTTGCATATATCACAGCTGGAAGGAAGAAATTCAAAGTGATTTGAATTTGTCACTTAGATTAGGTCACTTACCAATAAGGTCTTTTGCCGGTATGCAAAAACTTGTGTTTGTTTAAGGAGGTTTTGGTATTGAATCGTTTGAAGCATTCATCACATTGGTATTTCCAGTCTCTGATGTGTCGTCTCCTGAAATTATAATTCATTTTTAATACAAATCAATATCAATCAAGTACAATTTTAGGCATTGTCTTACCGCTCATGTAAATATTTAGCTGTGCTGGTAAAAAACGTATTCGGGCAGAATTTGCACTTAAACGGCTGCTCTCCCAGGTGGCGAACTCGTACATGTAATTTTAACAGCAATTTCGAGACAAAACGCCTATCGCAGAATATGCAGGCGAAATCTTTTTTACCTGTGTGACGTACCAAATGTATTCTTAGGTTGTAAGTGCTCTTAAAGGACTTTCCACACTCTTTACAATCTAGAGACTGAGTTTTACGGGCCCTTTTCTTGGCTGGTGATATATTTTCAACCGCTTCGGCTTCCAGTTTCTGTTTAACGGTCACCTCCGTTTTATGTGGAAAAGGAACAGCTTTCGGTGGGAAATTTTCTGTCGCAACCGAAGAAGTCTCGGCTAAAGGTGTTTTACGTTCTTTTTTAAATCCTTTCAAATCTGACTTACCATTTTTCTGAAATTTCTGATTTCTCTTGGATAACAATGTAAGCTTGGATAATTTACCAAAGGGAATACTTGATCTTTTTTTATAAGAACGTTTTATGTTCTGATTATTAAATTTCTCCACTTGTTCATCTTGTTTAGAGTCTTCTGATTCATAACTGTTATATGTAAGGATATCGTCTAGATCTGAAGACTCTGAGTTTTCCAAGTTATCTAGTTTTAATTTCCTTGGTCTTTTTTGATTAAAGATACTTTTTGTAATATAAGATTTATCTGATTCTTGATCACTTCCACTTGTCTCATATTTATTTTTGCAAAGATGGTCAACATCTGTAGACTCTGGGTTTTCCAAGTTAGGTAGGTTCCATTCTATAAGATTTTCCGTTTTTTTTTGATTGTACACATTTATAGTATCCATTTCATCATCTGAGTCTTCCAGATTACATGAGAAACCCTCTTATCCTTATTTGATATTTCAGACTCCAGGTCTTGGTCAATTGTATCTTCTGTTGTTGGCACCAAAATCTGGCGGCTCCGAAGAATGCGTTCCTTGAACTTAATGGACACCTTCAATTCATTCAAACAAGTTGAACAAATGTGACGCGGCTGGTGCTCCTCTTCATGTAGCTTTAAATAAAGTGAGTAATTTTGCTAATTCATTGGCATATAGTAAAACCACAAACTAACCTCTAAACCAGTAAGATCTTTTAGCTTACTGAGAACATCGGAACTAAATATGCTCATCGGATTTTGGTGGCAGAAATACAAACCACACAGACGACATTGAACAGCGATTTCAGCAATATTATCCATAGTTTCCGAACTTACATGTGACGTTTTAACCAGTTGGAAAATAATTCCCTAATACACATGTCAGTTACAAATATTTCTAAGCTTTTTATCTATTTGATCTTTTTTCGCCAGGAAAAACACGATTACTGAAGCTATATTTACACAGAAAAATTACAATAAATTGAAACGTTATCACAATTCCATAAAAGCAAGCGGCAAAACAGTTGCTTTTGCTTTTGGTGTTGCCAGACCATATTTAGTTAATAACTGTTTTTTTAAGCCAGGGATCCGAAATAGTTTTAATAATTTATTTATTGTTTTAATCAAACCGAGATTCTAACTATTTTTTAGAATTCATGTTTCCCAAGTGGTTTTTAAAAAAAAATTCGCAGAAAACAAAAATTCAAAAATTTAGCCAGTATATTAGCCTTAAATAATATATCAGTTTATTTAAAAATCATTCTACATAATAAGCAATATACTTAAAACAAATGATTTCTCATTGCCTTATTTAAAACAGCATCAAAAATTATACTGCCTCAAAAACATCTTTGAGCCAAAGAGATAATTAAATAGCAGCCATAGCTGGCATTTATAAATATTTGGCGCTAGTGGCGTCTTTTTTTTTGCGTCATGGGCTATGTGAAGATCTCCTCTTCCATTACTGCTTCATCATAATCGTAATCCTGGAATTCTTCGTCAAGAAGTTCTTCGTGGTCCTCGTACTGATCACCTTCTTCATCTCCTAAAATAATGTCAATTTCGGCCTGGCTATCTTCCATTTCTGTCTGCCCTTCTTCCATATATCCAGGAGTCTCCGCTGGATCTGCATCTGCGTCTGACAAATATTCCTCTTTCGCGCCTTCTATCAATAAGTTCGCTCGCTTGCGATGGTACTTGGTTGAATAGTGGCGTTGTAAAAACTGTGCTTCCTTGAACTCCTTATTACAAGTCAAGCAACTGTAAAAGATTACAAAATTAGTGTGCGTTACGGTATTTAATTCAACATAGTCTTGAGATATCCTACAGATGAACATCCGGCTGGTCGCTTTTATGCCCCTCCTCATGTTTGCTTCGACCTTTTTCGCTGTTGAATCGTTTACCACAGATACGGCATGAAAAACACAGTTCGTTTGGATGCATTTGTCTGCGGAAAGACAGATATATAAAAGTGGGGAATAGAACAAGGGACTAGGACCAAAAGGACCACACTAACCGCTCATGGCGACAGCGGCTGGGACTATTGCCGAATCCCATACCGCAAAATTTGCAGACGTAGGGTTTTTCTCCTCTGTGATGAACTCGTACGTGCAAACGGAGCAGTGGCATGGTGTAAAATTTGCGTTCGCACTCCTCGCATGAAAATTTCTCCGCGAAGTGCCGCAACTTGTGGTCCTTCATGTTGCTGTGGTCGTTAAAGGACCATCCGCACTGGTCACACACATAACGCTTTATCGAACGATCGACCTTCTTACGTATTCTGCGCTTTCTAGGCTTCGGGACACGTTCCCTGCGAGGTGGCGGTGGACTATCTAATTTTTTTATCACCGGCACACGGAGACGCTTTACCATGACACGTGGAGATTGACTGTTAGGTAGTTTTTTAACCTCACGCATTATTTTCTTGCCCGGTTGGGACTTCTTAATAGGTTTTGTGTCTTCAACAAAGTCCGTATCGTCGTCCAGGACGACTATCTGCCTACTATGCTCCGGGAGTTCCGTATCGTCTTCCATATCATCTATGTCGGTGTGAACTTCCTGTTTCATCAATGGGTCTGAATTTACCTCCACATTGTCTATTAAGGTCGACGAGGAGGTTCTCAGATGGAGCTTCTCATGCGTTTGCAGACATCGCTGCCTGAAGGCGAGAGCCTGACTCAGATCTAAAAGGCAGCATGAGCAGATGTGCTGGGGCAGCAGTTTCTCCAAAACAATCTAAAAATTAGTAGTATATGATTTAAGACTTCGACTGATTATGTTATAATTAAAAGATGCCTCGAAAAGGGACGCTACCTCTAATCCCGTAATTTGCTCGATCGCTGTCCTAATGGGCTGATTTCGCTTTTCAAAAATATTCTTTGGGTTTGGCGTAAAGATTTGCTCGGCACAAATGCGACATTCGCTGGCCATGATATTCAAGATTATTTTAAATTGATAAATTCTACAATTAATAATAATAAATGTTTAGCGCTCGATAGAGTTGAGTTAATCACTTGCGGTATTATCGATATATCAACCTTTTAGGCTTGCAATGGTTTTTGATTCGATAGTTAAGCGTAAAACTTATATTAAAAATTATCCTTATTACCGTGATCCTTAGGAATTGTTGCATATGCATTTAATTTAATAATCGCATATGCATACTATTTGATTATAAAAGTAAATAAATTTGTTAATAAAATTAACACATCGAAAATATCGATGATGTCTCAGCTGTACCTTCAGTCAGTGTTTTAGTGTGACCGTGACCTACGGTTACGAAATTCCATACGTCGCAAAGGAATTATTGCCTTTATTTAATTTTACTGCACATAAGGAAATATTTTTATTTTTCAATAAACTCTATGATTTTTCTTTTTAAATTCTCTTAGGATAAACAGCTCACCAAATTGACTTCTTTTCTACTACATTCTTAAAGGGTAATAATGCAGTTTATTGAAATTTATCGAGTGCGAAATATTTACAAAGACTTCGAAATATTAAAACAATTCCTCTTATTAAACATTTTTTTTTAAATATATCTATATTATTAATACAATTTTATTTAAATTTATAAAATATCTAAAAGCTTCATTCATCTTGTAAGCTTTCAGTTAAATCTATGATACTATAAATAAGTTAGCTCTTCAGAAAAAAATTACTGTAGCCACATGTGTTATTTGCATTTGCAAGTATTAGTCCCGTAGAGAGTTTATAGAATTCAATATCTAACATAAAAAGCGATAAGCAATTGAAGAAAGTCTGTCTTAACGTGTAATTGTCAAATATTTTGTTAAAAAAGCAACATAAAATGCATTAGAGGAATGCCTCCAGTACGGGAGCGGCTATATTACGCCAACTTTCTCGCCATCGCAACTCTTGGAACTCCTGAAGGTTGCGCTGAAAGCCGGCTCGCGTCTCCAGGATACTTGGATTTTTTGGAAAATGCTCGAACCAAATTCTCAGTTGCTCGGCCAACTGAATGTGGTCCCTAAACACAAAGCCATTCTCACCGTGTTTCACCAACTCGTGCAGACTACAGAAGTTAAATGGAGTTATAGTGATCAGATTTTTTGATATTGAAAAAAGCCACCTACCACTTGAAATCGTAGGCGCAGACTGGCAGGCCGCTTCCGAACATATCCACCACCTTCATGGGCAAGTCCAAACCACTGGTGCTCCAATGCAGGCACACTCCGAGGTCGGCACTGGCGAGCACGGTGGGATAGTCCTCAATCTCCAACCAAGGCGTGATTACGGACACCTTTTGCCATTCCAGTTTGTCGATTTCCGCTATATAATGCTCTTTTTGTGGTCCCTTTCCTGTGATAATGCACAGCAGAGAGGGATACACTAAAGGCTCTGCTTGCGCCGTATCCTCGTAGGCCTGCAAAGCTTTCAGTAGTATCCCAAAGTCCTCATCCTGCGTCCAACTAGTACTCGAAACGAGGACAGCCTGTCGCAGGGGCTTGTATTGCACGTTGCCGTTTAACAGTTTCTGGGTTAGTGCAGTGGATTCCAGCACCTCTGACTGTTTGATGTCCTTTGCCTGAAACTGAGGATAATCTTTGGCTAGCTTCAGGAATAAATCGTGCTTCTGGGGCAGGTCTATGGGATGAAATTGCGTGGGCGGACGATCATATAGAACTTTAACAGGCCTGAAAGATCAGTCAGAGATTAGAAAAATACTAACACTAGTTAATCAATTCATACCCAATACCCCAGTTCTGCTGGAGATCCTCCTGCATTGCGCGTGTCACACAGAAGTGAGTGTGGGCTTTGGACCCAAAATAGCGTTCCAGTCGCCTCACTATTCGGATCAGAAGGCCCTGTTCCCCATTGGACATTCCCAACGCAAGCACTGTATAGGTGTAATTATGCCAATCTATGGCCAATTTTGTTCGGGTCACCGCACAATATAGATAGCATACGATCAACGTTGGAATCCCGGGCGGATTCTGGACTAGCAGGAAGCTGGGTCGCCCAATGGAGATGAGGGCTATTAGAAGACTGAGGGTCTGCCAAAAGGCCTTGAAGAGCAACCGCAACTTGGGCGTGAGGTTCGTCACTGGAACGGCAGTTAACTCATGGATTCGGCAACATGGATGTTGAGTAAGTGCCTCCAATGGTCTCGTCTCCAGATAGCCAATAACGTCCACGTGGTAATTCTCCTCCAGGAGACTCTGTGCATGGTACTGCATTCGAGGACTGCGCCCAATGTCGCCCAGAACGATGACGCAGGCGTTGCGCTTCTTGGGCGGCACTTCCGTCATCGCTAGGCAGGAAAATACGTGGTTTTCAGCGATCGAAGACAATTGCGCGTTTTCTCCACAAAATAATAATAAAAGACTATCGGGGCTTATCGGTATTCGATATTATGTTTGAGTTATCAATTAGTCTTAAAAGCTCGAAATGTATTTACGAATGTAAATGTTTGAAAATACTTTTGAACTATGTAAATATACTGCTATTCGGGAACTTTTATTATTATTATTATTATTCGCCTTCAGAATGAATTTAAAATTTCAAGAACATCAACAAAAAATGTTCTTGATGATATGTCCCTTTTCCATTGTTTATAATAGTAAGCGTATAACTTTAATGTTTTTTTTTTTACAATTTACATTTCATTTATAAGTCTGCATATTGTGTACACTTTAGATACATAAGTAAAAAAATACTAAGATGGCGAATGTCAAATTAAAGGAATACCGAATTCTCCGATCTGGTCACACTACGATGCACGTAAGCTGAGTAGTCTACTCGCTACGTCATTCCCGCGGAAATTCGGATTCGGTCGGTCGTATAGTCGCGGCTCGCGAGTGCGGCACTTTTCTAACGGAACATCTAACTTTGTGTTTGTGCGTTCGCCAGTGTGTGTATGTGAGTGTTGTCAATAAAGATATGCTACAATTTACGCAGCAACTAATGCTCAAATAGAGAAAATATTCATATTAATACCAAGTGTCGAAGAAAAACAAGGAATAAAAACAGAATTGGACCATATTTCGGAGATTATTATTGAAGACTTCATGAAACTAGAAAATCGCAGGTGAGTCAAATCAGAAAAGTACTCTAACTACCGTTATTTTACGCATTTTCGCCGGCAAAACAAGCCGGTTTTCCACCCTCCAGTTGGCGCCTGTCTGGATGCCTGTGTGTGGGTGGCAATCTCTATCTATGTTGTGTGTGTGTGTATGTGGGGTTATTTCGAGCCATCGAATTTCGATGAAGTGGAAATGCAAATTTCCCTACACCACACACTACAATTTCCTGTAAGCTTCGTCAGGTTTTGTTTTCCATTTATGCATTTTTATGCGCGTAGTATTTTCTGTAGTGTTATCAAGAAATTTGTCACACGACTGTCTGGGATTATAGCTGGATGTACAGATGGGGACAAATTAATAAAGTAAAATATCAATTTTGATAAAAAATAATTTATTTTTCATAAATCTATAAAATGATCCTTAAACGATTTATTAATATGGATGCTTACTAGGTACAACATACTTTTCAAAATTAAACCATAAATACAAATTTCCAAATAGAAGAAATTTGTAGTAAATCATTTTTAGGATTTTATTACACTATAATTTTGCAAATCAAAAACCCAACTGAACTAAAAAAAATTTAAAAGTTGAAGAAATTTTTTTATTGATTTACATAAAATGTAAACTAATATACCAACACAGATTGCTTCCCTTCAAAAATATATAAAATTTTACACATGACAAATTATATTATTTTGGCCCCAGCTGTGAGCGTGCTACACGTAGTTTATCCCATTAGGCCCGTCTGCAATTTCTGATCCAGACGCGATACTACTCTCCGCGCATCGTCCTTTTGCTTCCTGCGTCCTTCGCAAAAGGCAAATAGCCAAACTGCCACCCCCAAAAGAGTGGGTGATGAAACGGGGGGTGGTTGCACTGCTTGCTGCCTGGGTGGTTTTCGGTGGGTCGCTGATGCTGCTGCTGCTGCCGCTGTGTTTTCCAACGCTCATCTCGTGGGGTTGGCCCGCAAGTTTCCACTCTTGATTTTTGATTTCTGTGCGGCTTTTTATTGCGCTGCAGAAGTTTTTGCTCTGCCGTCGCCCTTTGGCGTCCTTTTTCCTTCTGTATCCTTATGGCAGCATTTGGCATAGAAAAGTTGTCCTCAGTCTAGACACGGAATCAAAAAGGACAGCTTTCTTAGTAGGGTTTATGCGGTGCACATTTTATTAGAATCACAATTTATAAATTTCAAGGAAATAAGTGTGGAAATGAATGCAATTATTCAGATTTAAAACTATATATATAATATATATTATACTTGTACTTCTTTGTATTTTATGGCAATAATTGGAAATATGGAAAAATGTAAATCACTTCTTTGATTTTTATTAAGTTTTCTTTTTTACTTTTTTAACATTATTTCCAAAACCATTTTGAATTGAAAAAATATTTGTTTTTTACTTTTAAACAGGTTTTAGTTTAGTTTGTATTTCTATAAGTCACAAAATGAATTCCTTAAGAGACAATCTGTTGCAATATCTATTCGCATAAACTTGCCTGAATTTTACTTGCATTCACATTTCTTTTTGTGCATGTTTGCTGTCTGCGACATTTTCCCCTTTTTCTTTTAGCTGGATTAACATTAATTTCATGTTGAATTTATGTCACTGAAATTTGTTTCGGCAAAAAAAGAAATATGTAACTAAAATCGTATCTGGAAAATTGCTCTTTTGCAGCTACACCGGCAAACATATCAAAGAAGGGATTACTTTGGACTGAAAAATTCACTTTAAAGGCGCTCAAGAGCAAAAACCCGTGACAGGTAAGCTTTTCCCAGCGGTGCGTGTGTGCACTTTCGGGTAGATGAGGTGGGTGGTGTTAGCAGTGTTAGTGTTGGTGATGTGGTTGGTCGGGTGGGTGAGTCAGGGAACTGAGGCAGTCAACCTGAATAGTCGATTATCGCTGCATCTAATTTGTATGCCAAAGTCGTCGAGCTATATGGCCCGCATGCAGACCGCTCCAAAGGCTGGCGCGAGCTATTTGAATAATTCGCATCATGGACTCTCGGATGCCTGGGATATATAGTCTCCAAATGGGGCAGATATTCAAAAAGGGTGGTGGCAAGTCAGTGGAGAGTCAGGGAATTTGAAGAGACGGCGCCGTATGCAGGCAGCTGCATGAGCTTGTAAAATGCCAGCACACAATGCCAAATATCCTAAACAAACTTCCGCTTTGCAGACGTCGTCTCTTCGACGTAAAAGTTGGCTATAATTAAAAACGACGTGAGCGAAAGAGAGACCGTGATTTGCCACAGGGACGTGAAAAAGAGGCGGCGATATCTTGTGGCAAGTGCAGCATTGCATCCAGGCCCCTTTTTCTATTTTCGCTCGTATCTCGCTTGTTTAATTTACAGCCCGGCACTGAAAATTAAAAAAAAACTAAAAAGGGAATTGAGTTTTGATTGAGGTATCAATCCTCAAGAGATATTTATACTTCATTTTAAAGGAATTATAATATCGATTATGTTTTTTTATTGACTAAAACTCCATTAAATTGTGATTTGATTGGGATATAATTTTTAATGTTTAAAATGAGATTGTACACCTTTATCAACCGCACTTATCTAAGTGATCAATGCTATTAAAAACCAGTTACTTTTTAGGTTTTTAAATAAATGAAATGACAAAAGTCATTCTTCACTATCAACTGATTTTTCTGAGTGCATCAGAAGATCCCTTGCAGGGCAGTTGTAGATCACTCAAGTCTCTTTGACATTTTCCAAATAACAATCAACAATGGTACGTTCGAGGGAAACATGGAAAATAGCTGCGGAAGTGCCAGTGTCCTCTCCTATTCTCTTTTTCTAAATCTCGCGCTGCACTTCAATTTGTGAAGTGCTTTCTCCACGATACTTGTTGCCAGAGAAGGAGGAGGGAGGGGATTCGGTTGAGGAGGAGGACGAGGGCAATTGAGTTCACTTCGCCACACGTGACAAACATGTGGAACAACTTGGGTCGTTGAGATGGCGGACTTCGAGCTATCAAAAAGGCAAATTACGCGAACCAATTCAGGTAGCTGAAGCCAAAGAGAAACAGATAAAAGATAGCAAGAACAGTAGCTACGGGTCAATGACTAGACTTAATTCTTCTCGTTTAGCAATTCTTCTTCTAGAGAAAATTGCAAATTAGTCTTTAAAGTACGACAACCGTATGGTATAACAGTTTAAAGTTTTGCAGTTTACTACTTTATATAAGATATAGGATAAGTTGTTATTAAAAAGTATGTTGGCTTAAGACTGTTGTTAACTAAGGCATATAACTTTAATAACGGCTTATATGGAAGATTTCTCTTTTTGATTGCTAACCACTTAAATTTCTAAACACTTTTGCATCAAAATTGCAAAATCAGCTGCCTAAAATGTAATATTTAAAATAAAAATAACAGGAAATTTCCAATGCAAGGTGCTTGAAACTCCGTTAAACTGTCGGATGCAGAAGTCTCGTCAGCGATGCAAGTTGCCAGCGGGTCATTTCTGTTGACGCTTTTATACCCGCACGTGGACACACGAATGACTGAATGACTGACTGACTGGCTGGTTGGCAGCTTGAATGACTGACTGACTGACCGAATAAATGACTGACTGACTGACTGACTGACTGACGGGCACGCAACAATTGCGGCAACAACAAACAAGTTGCAGGAGAAAGGTGACAGAGAGAGGGAGCAAGAGTACGAGAAGTGATCAACTTTTTCCTTCCCAGGTTCCTCTGCCTTCCAAATTTATGCAGTCCCTGCAAATGGAGGAGGTCAGGGCATGAAGGAAATGCCGGGTGAGTGCCCTGGGCAGCGACAACTGCAAAGTGTTATTAAGTTGAGTTGTTGTTGTCGCCGTTGTTGTTGTTGATTTTGTTGCTTTTGCTGCTATTACGGTAGCTCTTTTGTTGTAGCTTTCGTCTGTAAGTACAGTGAAATGTGAGGAAGATGAATAAGTAGTAGGAGGAAAGTTATAAGATTATGATTTGGTCTATTTTAGATAAATAAAATTTTTTACAATTTTAAAAATATTTTAGAAAATTTTGAAATTTAAAGTTCGAATTCACTTTTAAGCTGAAAATCAGAAAAAAATAAATAAATTCTTAGAAAACTATTTTTAATAGTTTTAATATCTCAAACTGCATAGTTCCGGAAACTGTAAAACTTTTAATCAACTGGACTAATTCTGAAGTTAGCGAAGTTGGACTGTATATTTGTGTTGTCACTGCTCTTTCTCATTGTTGGCACTTGCTTTTGCTTGTTGCCTTTGGGCCATATTTTGCACCTTTTACGTTTATTGTGACATTATGCTTTGAATAATGGACGACACAAAAACAACAGCGACAGGGCAAACACTTTTTAGGAGCCACGATTCAGAGGGGGCGTTGCTTGGGGTATGATGGACTTTGTTGGGTTAGTGCCTGCCACTTTCCTTGTGTATTTTGCATCCTTTTTACATTATGTTTTGATTAAAAACTGAGCCACAGCTTCACCGCAGCAGCTGAAAAAGGAAAATATATAAAAAAAAAAAAACACACACAGAGAGAGAAAAATCAGGAGAAGTGCAAACAAAAGGCCCGAGAGCAAGGCAAAGGCAAACAAAACATAACAAAGTGCGGTGTGTACAGACTTCGGTCAAGGAAAAGGGGGCGCGGCAGCCAGTGGGCGGGTAAATAGCTGCCACTGCGGCGGTCACTTTCAGGACATCGGAGCGAAGCAAAAAAAAGAAAATAATAATAAAAAATGCTGCGGCTAAGTGAAAAATGCTGATTAAAATGACCAAGAGAGAGAGAGAGAGAGAGGCAGCTTGTGGCTCCAGAAAATTTATTAAAAAAGTAAAATCCGTAGCGAAAAAGATGACATAACATGAATTAAGCAAATAATAAAAAAGGAAATATTAATCTGTTATTTCACTTTGAATATGGACCACAGCTGCTGTGCAAATAACTCAAATGTCATTCTCAAATATCTCGATGACAGCCTCAGTGGCTCTTTTGTGTTCACTTAATTAAAATGTTCTGTCTAGCAT